ATGTCTTTGATGTATGTGAGATAAGATGTGGGTGTTAGTAACTCAATGATAAACAACTGGAATAAACTGAAGGATAAGAGAACACGTTAGAACACAACTCACGTCGGGCCACCGCTCGTAGCCTGCTAGTCGACCAAGGAAGGATTTGATAGATTCATATTGAATAGCAGTTCTAAGGGCCGAGGCCCCACGTGTCCGTCGCCGAATATGGAATAGTTGTAAGACAACCGCGTCGTAGCTAGACAGATGATGAACTAACCCGGGAGGCCGTGACGATGCCCTTTTATAGGCGCCGCACTTCGATCGTGCGATCACGGATAGATCATAGTTGGTCATGGCGACGGTTACACGTGAGCACCGGCGCACCCTGAGGGATTTCCCTCGGGAGCGATCCTCGCGATCCGCGACAACAATCCTGCATGCACCCTTATTGGACGAAGATAGTCACATGTGCTGTCGATCTACCACAATGTTACAGGTGGGAGCCATGGGGAAGAGGATCACATTCGGACGAAGACAGATATCCTGAAGCTCGGACGACGACATCACGTCCTGGTGATAGAGCCTGGACAAAATGGTGAGTATGGGTACCACAATCCTGCACGCACCCTTATTGGACGAAGTTAGTCACATGTACTGTTCCTCTACCATTATGTTACAGGTGGGAGCCATGGGGAAGAGGATCACATTCGGACGAAGACAGATATCCTGAAGCTCGGACGACGACATCACGTCCTGGTGATAGAGCCTGGACAAAATGGTGAGTATGGGTACCACAATCCTGCACGCACCCTTATTGGACGAAGATACTCACATGTACTGTTCCTCTACCATTATGTTACAGGTGGGAGCCATGGGGAAGAGGATCACATTCGGACGAAGACAGATATCCTGAAGCTCGGACGACGACATCACGTCCTGGTGATAGAGCCTGGACAAAATGGTGAGTATGGGTACTACAATCCTGCATTCGTATTTTTTTTTTTCGTACTCTGTTCTCTTGTTTGATCGATTATGTATTATGTTCTATCATTACTTGCTTCTCTTTTTATTCCTATTATTTAACTTATTGTGGAGCAATTGGAAAAGGTATTCAGTATTCGACTGATAGACAGATATCCGTTGAAGCTCTGGTGATTATCGTACATCTTGACTCCTGGTGATAGAGCCTGATCAAAATGGTGATTTTATTGTGGTTCATCTTTATCAATTTCCTTGTCATATCCCCTTATTGGTATCTATTATTGATAGTTCATTATTGTATCTTTTTTGTCTATTTTCTTTTATATCAATTGTTACAGTGTGGAGGCTAGAGTGGGGAAGGAGGGATCACACGCACGAAGAGCGCGATATTCCTGAAGCTCGGACGACGACATCACGCGGTGGTCCGTGGTGACTAGAGCTGGACAATAATGGTGAGGTTCGGTAGACGCAATCCTGCACGTCGACCCTATTGGCCGAAGATTAGCTACATCGGGGCTGGCTCCTCGTAAGCCATTATGTATGCAGGTGGGAGCTCGAGTGGGGAAGAGGGATCGATCATTGTGATACGAATGGACAGATATCTGAAGCTCGTGACCGACGACATTCATCGTCCTGGTGATAGATGGGCGGACAAGATATGTGAGCATAGGGACACCATGCTGCCAGTCGCACTCCGTTATTGACGCAAGATTAGTCACCATGTTACTGCCTCTGTACTCATTGCCTCCCTACACCGGTGGAGCATGGGGAAGGCGATCACATTCGGACAGAAGACAGATATCTGAAGCTTGCGGGCGACGACATCTACGTCGCTGGTGATAGAGCACTGGACAGAAAATGTGAGGCATCGACCACAAGTCCTGCGACGCTACCGCTTATTGGACGCAGAGTAGTGCAGATGTACGGCTCCTGCTCTACATTTGTTACAGCTGTGGAGGCGAATGGGGAGAAAGGATCACATGTGGGAGGACGAAAGACAGATACCTGAAGCTTTGGACGACGACAGGTCAGTCGGTGAATGAGCGCTGGACAAAATGTAAGTATGTGGTAGGGATACAATCCTGCAGCACCGTCCTTAATTGAGCGAAAGATAGTCACATGTGCTGTGTGATGATCTACCACACATTGTTACACGGCTGGGAGCAATGGGGAAGAAGATCACATTCGGAACGAAGACAGATTATCCCGCTGAAGCTCCGACGAACCCGTAATTCCACGTCCTGGTGATAGGAGCCTGACAAATATGGTGAGTATTAGGGTCGCGACAATCGCTCGGCACGCGCTCCTTGGAACGAAGATAGTCACATGTACTGCTCCTCTACCATTAGTTAGCAGTGGGAGGAACTGGGGAAAGAGGATCAATTCGCACGAAGATCAGATAATCCTGAACTAGGACGATCGACATCCACGTCTGGTAATAGAGCCTGGACATAAATGTGAGTATGGGTACCACATATCCTGGGCACACACCCTTGATTGGACGGAAGATAGCTCACGATTACTGTCGATCTACCACTGTGTAGCATCGTGGGATGCAATGGGGAAAGGAAATCACATTCGACGAAGACCGTATCCCTGAAAGCTCGACGACGACATCGACGTCTGGTGAAGATGCGTGGACAAAAATGGTTGAGTATGGTACTTACAATCCTCGCAACGCACACTTATATGGTACCGAAGATAGTCACAGCACTGCTCCTCTATTACATTATGTTTAGGTACAGGTGGAGCCATGGGGGGAAGAGGATCACATTCGGACGAAGACAGATAACCTGAAGCTCCGGACCGACGACATCTACGTCCTGGTGATAAGAGCTGGACTAAATATTGTGAGCAATGACCTACACAATCTGCACGACGTCATTGGACGAAGATAGTTCACATGGTACTGCGCTCCTCTATCATTATGTTACACGTGGGAGCCCATTGGGGAAGAGGATCGACATTCGACGAACGAACAGATTATCACTGGAAGGCTCGGACCGAACGACATCACGCTGGTGGATAGAGCCTGGACAAGTAATTGGGTGAGGCATTGACCCCAGAATCGCCGTCACGCACTCCCTTAATTGGGACGAAGATAAGTCACATGTAACTGCATCCTCTACAATTATGTTACAGGTGGGAGCAATGGGGTAAAAGGATCAGCATTCGACGAAGACAGATTCCTGAGCTTGGACGTTACGACATACGTCCTGGTGATAGAGCCTGAGCAAAATGGTAAGCTATGGGTAAACTATCTGGCACGCACGCATAGTCACATGTGCTGTTGATCTACCACAATGTTACAGGTGGGAGCAATGGGGAAAACGGATCACATTCGGACGAAGACAGATATCCTGAAGCTCGGACGACGACATCACGTCCTGGTGATAGAGCCTGGACAAAATGGTGAGTATGGGTACCACAATCCTGCACGCACCCTTATTGGACGAAGATAGTCACATGTACTGCTCCTCTACCGTTATGTTACAGGTGGGAGCCATGGGGAAGAGGATCACATTCGGACGAGGACAGATATCCTGAAGCTTGGACGACGACATCACGTCCTGGTGATAGAGCCTGGACAAAATGGTGAGTATGGGTACTACAAACCTGCACGCACCCTTATTGGACGAAGGCAGTCATATGTACTGCTCTCCTACCATTATGTCACAGGTGGGAACAATGGGGAAGAGGATCACATTCGGACGAAGACAGGTTCGCTGAAACGTGGACGACGCCATCGCGCTATGTGAATAGAAACTGGACAGAATGGTTAGGCGCCCCTTATACCTGACAAGCGAGCTAAATACTCTAAATATCTCCCTCTACCGTACATTTACAGGTGGTCCCAGTGGAATCCCAGATCTCATCCCAACGATGACAGAATCGTGGAGACATGGACAATGACACCATACCATTACAGGAGGACGACACCATCGCGTCAAGCGAATAGAACTTGGACAGCATGGTAAAGCTACTATCAGAAGGGCATCGACGCTACCACGAGGATGACCAAATCGCTAAGATGAAATTTCAAGTGCTCCACTTACCATTTGTTTATAGGTGGTCCCAAGGGAGACCCGAGTCCCATTCTAATGAACACAAAGTCGTCCAAAAATGGACGATGACACCAGGCTACTATAGATGGACATCGCGTCCGGTGAACAGACCTCCTACAGAATGGTCAAGTTGATGTGATATTATTGTTATTATTATTATTTATTATATTATTATTTATTATTATGTTATTATTATTATTTATTATTATTATTATTATATATTATTTTATTTATATTATTATTATTAATTATTATTATTATTATTATTATTATATATTATTATTATATTATTATTATTATTATTATTATTATTATTACTGCTGCTATTCCTATGAGACTGATAGCAATATAGATGATGATGAGAAAAAGTGATAATTTTTTCGATGTCTGAAGCGCATCGAACTCTCTTTAATAGTACAATAATTTTCAGGGTACCAGACTATTACGATTCTACAGAGCCTTCAAATAAACCTTGCCCGATGAAATGAGAACATTTCGCAACGCGCAGTGCCCATGGTTGTTATGATTGGAAATACAAGAAGTAATTGTGGTAACTTCAGTAAATCCTTGACTATGAATAAATGGGTGAAATGAAGGTCTAGTTACAATTTTAACTTAAGTAAAAGATTTGTTTCACAATGTATGGAGAAGAGTTAGTAATGGTTCGTTTCGCCTCCTCTCAGACGAACCATTTTTGTGCCTTCAGTCCCCTGAGGCTCCTCAGTGAGGAGGGACCAAAGCGAAACATACCTCAATAGTTGTAATCAATCTAAAAGAAGTAAAAGAATAGAGATAACCAGTGTCCAAGTCAAAAAAAGCGGTGATTAGAAAAGGAAGTGCTTACGAGAGACCGTCAGGCAATAGACTAATACTCAGTTAAACTGATACGCAGTTGAATTAGAGCATGAAATTGACCCAATTGGGATTGAAGTGTTTAAGTGAATCAACAATGCCATTGAATAGGTCTGCCAAGACTAGCATTAACTACCAAATATCAGATCAAGAATTGAACACAATAAGCCGCAATGCCATGTACCAACTAGTTACATAAGTTCTACTAGTTGTTAGTTCAAGCCGTGTTTACCGCACGGGTGTGTGGTGTGAAACAACAGTTCACAGTAAATTTTTTGATTACAAGATCTTCGAAAATTATTGCTGAACACTTCCACCAATGGCAGAAGCACACATGGCTCGGGCATATGACACGAGAATCGTAATTCGCGCGCTGGTGGGAGTCGCGCGCGACAAAATGACAATGTTTCCAAGTAAAGGATGGGCGACTCAGAACTGAAAAAGTTGATGAATATCTATGATGAAGGGTCTACATGAAGTCCGGTGCTCCAGTCGACAGATTGACACGAGTTATGAAACTGTCGCTCTTGCCCGTCTCCCAATGGATCAGTCTGCGTATTCGGCGCTGTTGCGCGATTTGCCCTCAAAGCCGTCTCAGGACACTTGTCAACGCAGAGGCCTCCCTCCTCTCTGCTTATTTTCTTCCTCCTTCCTTCTTTTCCTTCCCTTTTTTCTCCCTCTTCCCTCTTCCTTTTCCTTGTCCCTGCAGATGCTCGATCAATAGATGCGATGAGAAAATACTTCTGGACCCCACAGAGAAAGAACGTTTGATTGACAAGAGTTCTGTGACCCCTCAAAGGCAGTTGGCACGATAATTTGGTAACTGTTTAAAATACTAGCAGGGGTGCTGGAGAGTGGGAAAGTGGCGAAAAAGCAAAATAAAACGTTCAAAACCTGCGAAAAAGCCTTTGTTCTACACGACTCACGGAACGATTCCGAACAAGTTCCTCGTTGGCAATGTGCCAGTAACCTACGGTACGTACGATGTACTCGGCTCCCTGGAAAACTCACCCAGCGCGTTCCGGCGCGAATGTTTGACGTCACTGCGGTGGTAGGGCGAAGCAAAAGGCGATGGCCCGCGCCTCCGCCACTGTGTTTGAACCTGCAGCCGCTTTCATCTGGAAGGAAAAAGAGGAAAATAGAGAGAGAAAGATGACTGAACAGATAGTGGATGCTCACAGGTGAGTTAGTGTAGTGGTGAGAGATTAGAGAAAAGTCGACTATCAGGGCGAATTACTTTAACAAATGGCAAAACTGGCCGAATAGTTCCCTTCGATTGCGAGAACGACGCAGACAGCTCTTACGCAAAAGTCTAAGGTGAGATGTGGCAAGTTGCCAACAGCTGGATGTGACCCTTTCAACGGCACGGTGAAGGGAACTATTTTGCCTGTTTCGCCATTTGCCGAAGTAATTCGCCCTGATAGTCGACTTTTCTGTATTCTCTCACCACTACACTAACTCACCTGTAAGCATCCACTATCTGTTCAGTCATTTTCTCTCTCTATTTTTCCTCTTTTTTCTTCCACATAAAAGCCGCTGCCCATCGGAGCACAGCGGCGTAGGCGCACGTCATCGCCCTTCGCTCCGCCCTGCCGCCGCGGTGACGTCAAAATCGCGCTGCATACGAGCCCAGGTAAGTTTTTCCCTCCTCCCTATGTACTCAGACATCCATGCTCAGGGTACAGCATCGTTGTGCGAAACCCACAGGGGGGTCGTACTTGGCCTCTGGGGAGGAGGGGGGGGGGTCGGTGATCTCAAGGGTCACTCAGAGCCGGGCAATGCCTTAACATTTTAGTTGATAGAGGGAGTGGAGCTATGGAAGTGAAGATGTTAGAAAAATGAAAATCATTATGAGTGTATTCTTTAGAGATTTGACTGCTACATTTAACAGCCCATTTTTTCATGCGAAATCCCCAGAAGGGGTTCGTATTTGGCCGCGAGGGACGTGGAGAGTATCGCAAAGTAGGCTCGCTAGGCATCAAACAGTACAAAAGTGTCACTGCTAAGCTTGATGGAGCGGACGGAAAGCTGCAGAAGACCCGGATGTGAATAGACTACAAAATAAAAAAGTTTAGCAAATAATAGCAAGAATGGCAAGAATAAATAAATAAATAAATAATAAATCAACCAAATATCAGTTTAGCATGAACTCGTAAGTACGTAGATGACTAAATAATACGTCTCAAACACATTCGTGCGTATTGTCCTTTCCAAACTCTAAACGAACATCTGTTTGCATGAACAAAAGCACCTGAAACCAGAATTTACAGCTTTCCACCAGCTCTGCGTAGGAGCGTAATGCACGCCGCACACTCGGACCAAATCGATCAGTGATGGCCGAGCCCCTCTTTCACTCATTTGAAGGGAAATATTTGTTTTGAAGGCACACCAAAATTTCCGAAGGTGCATCCTCACAATGGCACAGAAGGAGTCGATTTTTCGAGTGGTTCGGAGGGTAGCGCGTCGGTGACCCATCAAAAATATTTCCTGAACTAGCGGGTCTTCAGGAAAACTGTGAAGCTCAATGGAAGAGAAAAGATAGGGTGGTTTCAAGACGCTTTTGATCCTGATGAAATTGCATTTGAAATAAGTAATCTTTATGTAAAGTATAAAAAGCCGCTTGTCATTTGCCCCTAGCCGATCCGAAACCCATCCGAAATATTTCACGAACGGGGAAACATTCAGATTGCAACTGGGTAGAAAACGCAACAGTAGGAATTCCCGTTGCATGCTGCTAACCATTCATCAAAAGCCGCTCCCCTCAAAGAGATATAACTCCCCGAAAAGACCCCAGGACGTTGGCAGGTCCAACAACCGCGCTCCAATGACGTTTTTAAAACAAAAGCGACAGCAACGTTGCGATCGATAATAGCCAAGTATGGAACGATATACTGCAGCCTGGTATCCATTTTTTCATTTGGTTTCGCATTTTTTTGTATTTTTCATGTTTCGCTTTGTTGTGTCGTGCATGTTTTCATGATTTCCCCGTCACCATTCATTGAATGCACATCTGGGGCCTGACACGCTGACCTTAGGGCTATTTTTTGTTGTTGAACGTCGAGTTTTGTTTTGAATCCTAAGACAAAATTGTAGGTAATGCGAGGCTTTTGTTCTGCCTCATTTTGCATGAGGCTGAAACAACTATGGCACTGTAACTTAGCACATTCCAGCTCCCACGTATGATAAGTGGTTCACCCACCTCGTAGTCCCCTCGCCTTGGAGAAGCTCGTTCCCTGGTTTGCCATAGTTTTTTTGAACATCTCAATTCCTTGGCAGGCGTTGTGCTGTCGGTGTGTTGTAGCTTGATAGGGCACGAAGGGTACTTCCCTCAGGAAACGCGTTTGCTCATGGGATCCGGTCCCAGTCCTGCTTGGCATTATAGTCCCAAATGTCTCAGACTTATCGTGCTAACTGCCTTTGAAGGCCGCGATTTCCGTATAGAATCCGCGACCCTGGGCAGGCGCTGCATGGCTGTTTCTCCGAGGAAGGTGCACTCACTAGGGCCCTATCAAGTCACAACTTTACGTCCCAAACGCCCATCACGCCCGCCCGCCCACAAATAGACGACCGTTCCTGACGCTCGTATTCATTCATTTGCTAAGCAACTTATATAGCGAAGGAATTATTATGAAGCGGCCGTGATGCTGCATGGATAAATGGGTACACATATGCATCCGTATATTCGGTAGAGGTGATTGGTAAGCTGCCTACGGGAAACTCGTCCGGAATCGATTTACAAGTCACTTAAAACGAAGGCTTTTTCTTCGCAGGATTTTGACCGTTTCACTCCGTTCTTTCGCCATTTCCCCCACTATACAGCGCCCTACTAGCATTTTAGGCTAAGTAGGAAACCATCGTGCCAACTGCCTTTGAGAAAAAATATCGAGTAGCAAATTATGCCTTCAATTTAGAAACTCTTGTACCGCTTCTTGAGTCAAAATACAAGGATGTAATAAAACTTATCTGATTGTTTGACTGTCGTTAGGTGATGCATATACGTTTGGGCCGACCCAAAAAAGTTTCAGAGGAGGAAGAATTGAGCTTCCATGCAGAATCCTGGTGGCGTTTTTAGGCTCTCCTCCTATGTACTAGTACAGTCCCACAACAACTGTACAGCACTACTCGGACTATCACATTTTGTCATTAGGAGAGTTCGGTAACGTCTATGTGGAAAATGCGCTGAGAAAGTGCTCTGTCCCCTTGATTGGTCATTGGTATAGCTGTGTGAATGTTACATAGGAAAGAGCAAAGCGCAGGAGATTATAATAGAATCGATTGTTCTTAATCACTTTCGCACAAAGGCATGAATAATGTACAACAAACAGGGTTGCTATGGGCTCATTGTTCAAATACAGGCAATCCAAGATAGCCTGCGAACCAACCGTGAGAAACCATCATGGACGAAAGAAGGGCAGCCTTATTGGATGAATGGCAACAACATGGAGAGGGCAACTACCTTGATAAGGAGGAGATAGACCACATGGAGTATCTTTCAACCAAAGGCAAGGTCCCTATTTGCAGGTAAGCAGTTGTACTGGTAGTGAAGTTCACAGGAGATTGTGCTAAGGACGCGCCGGTAAAGTGAAGAAAACTGGAACGTCAAAAGCCCTGATCAGAAATCATAACCTATCTTCAC